GGAGGTTGTTTGTAACTCTGAAATGTTTGTATATCTAAACAAAACATAATGGCTTTGAAACTTTATGATGCAGAAGTGAAATGCAGGTTTTATCTATTTTAATTTAACAGAAACAGAAACAGTTCCCTTACTTTGTCAAATATTTATTTGTAAAACTTTCCCTTTTTTAATAGTAGTTTACTTTTAACCCTGTAGTTTCGCAAATTGCGTAGCTTATTTTGATATTATTTTGAAATAGCTTATTTCAAAATTTGGTTTTGTCAACACAGCACTTATTTCAAAATAAATAGCTATTCCAAAATGTCCCTTAATCCTCGTGAAATGAGATTTACAGGGACATTGGAATAGCAAGCCCATTATATTTTGAAATAATGGGCTTGCTGTGAAGATGCGAGACAGCTATTTCAGGATACTTCAGTGTGCTGAAATAGTGTTGTAGTGTATATGTAGCCTATGACATTTGCTTTTTTGGTGTGGGTCTTTGCTGCCTGATTGCATATTTCTGGTTCCAATGAGGTGTGTTGTTGATTGATCAGTTTGATATTCATAACTCTGATTTTCTACTCTACATAGTTTTACACAAAGGAAAACAAAAGACATGAGGGAAGGGGTCTCTTCTACGCCTTGCTGGAAACAAGGCAATATTCCAGTAATTAGTACTTATCACTAATGCTACACCTCATACTTTAAAAGTGCTGTACGCATATCGAGTGATCCAAACAAAGCTCCTAATATAGAAGGTAAAAAAGAAAATAGTTCCGAAAATAAACTAGCAGCAACCCAAGTGATCAATTGAAATCCTTGAACTCCTCACACAAGGAAATAATGTGAAGGGGGACAAACTCAGTTCCATTTGTGCCACACCTTTGACACAATGGGGAAGTTACAGAGGTGCTGCTGGGAGAAGAATTTACACAAAAAATGTGGAAAGGGAAGGGGAACATGAAAGGAAATGTGCAAACTCTCCTACTTTAAATGCAACAGAGGGTACGTCTATGCTGCAAGGTAGTGGAATTCTGAAATAGCTATCCCGCGTCCAAGGACCACGCTCGTTATTCCGAAATACCTTTCAAAATAACAGACACGCTATTTTTCCATCCCTGTAAACCTCGCTGCAAGAGGAATAAGGGATGGCTCAAAATAGTGCTTTATTTCGAAATCTGGTGACGTGTAGATGCACCAAATTTTGAAATAGCCTATTTCAAAATAAAAATGAAATAAGATACACAATTTGCATAGAGCAAATTGTGTATCTTATTTTGATTTTAGTGTGTAGCGTAGACATACCCTGAGACACTGATCAGTGGAACCAGACAAAATGGCTCTGATACAAAATCATTTGCAGAATTTTAAGATAATTAAGTCATAGTTTAGTAAAATACATCAAAAGAGCACTGTGCTTGTTTGTTCCTAGGAGGCATATATTTACAGATCAAGCAAAGGAAAGACCTCTACTCAATTCAATGGCATTTCTCCATCTGTGGCAGAATAACTTTTGAACATTTATGTAATCAACTCAAAAAATTTCAGAGAATCTTCTAGGCATCCACAGGCAGAACCCTGTTGCTTTTGTTGACAACTGGGGAAGTTTTCATAAAAAAATCAGGCCCACAAAATGCTCATTTAGTACGGAAGGCAGATAAACCTCCACTTCATCCATGCCTATATATCATAGGCAGCAGTTTGGGCTACATAAGCAATGAAGTGTGTGACTATCTAGGTACTGCACAACTCAACACCAATATACTGAGGCAGATGAAGAATCTCAGAGAAGGTACAGTTGTATAATTGGGAAAACAGCATATCTAATGGGGAAACCATTGGACTGGGAATCAACTGAAGATCTACACCAGCTATATTTCCTGCTCTGGATTGACTGGTTGTATGATCCTGGATTAGTTACCCAATGTTTCTGTGTCTTAGTTTACTGCGTCTTAGTTTATTCATCTACAATAAAAGGGGTCAGATTCTCAACTAGTGTAAACTGGCATCATTCCATTCAATCCCTGATTTCAGAAAAACATAACTTCACAAATCCCCTGGGAAGGAGGTATAGTTTATAATCACTAAGGCCCGAAAATGATAAGCTATTATGCTGTAAGATTTGCCCAGGCATCAAGAACATTTAGAAAGTACAGAATGCAAGGCTACAAGAATAAAAACCCAAGGTGCAATGGCTGAATCTCTTCAAATGCATTTATCTTCTGAAAGAGCAAATGCAGCTAAAAAGACTTCCCCCTTTTCCCTGTTGGTGAATGAACTAAAAAAATAATTATTACATTAATATCAAACGCTGATCTTCTATGATGTGCCAGAGTTGTAAAATAGGGAACTAGATTGAAACTAATATTACAATTAAAATGTGTATAAAAGGGAGGTCAACTATAGGTGATACAGCTTTGGGCAAAATATTGGAAATTTCAATGACAGGGTTTCCCTCATGGGCAATCCTGTTAGAAAAGAAAAGAGTTGCATTCATATTGATTTCTTTTCGTTTAAGTGACAAAGTGAAGTAGCAAGGCTAATGTGTGCAATCAAACACGCTTGTGCTATCCAGTTAGTGAAATACACCTGTGCTTAAACAGACAATAAATAAAAAAGGAATTAAAACCAAACAGTGTTAGGTAATCATAATGTGGAATAATCTGAAATATAACGGTTTGGTTAATTATGCACAGACTCAGCCCTGCCACATAAACCAAAGTCACACCATTGTTATTAAAACAGAGAGAACAGAAACAGAAATATAGACAGCTGTTCGTTCTTGAAGTGACTTCTCAAAGTAAAACGGATGGCAAAAATAAGTTGAAAGAGCATCATAGACTGTGCAGTGAGGTTGTATAAATTATATAGACTTTAAACTGGATATTTCAGTGCTGGCAGAAGAATTGCTTCTTTAGCAAGCATAATAGCAAAGGTGGCTAAGAGACGTACTGCACAGAGGCCCACAAAATACAACTTGTGGAGGTAAATTGATAACAGCAGCAAATCAGCACATGTTCGAGGTATGTCTCAAGATGGTTGTAACAAAAGTGATGACTTAGCTCGTCTTATGCAAGCAGGTGTGACAAGATATGTTGAACAATGAGAATGGAAAATTCTAGTCCCGGTTGCAAGAACTCGAAAGCTGCCATCTTGTACCTTGATCGGCTAGTGAGAAAGTATGACTTTCATATTGGTTAGACATTTTGAAACTTTAGAAGAAGTGGGAGTCATCATCAGATTGATCATGCCAACCCCTCCAAGAAGAAGCATGAAATTGGACCAACAGAAATAGGTTAAAATGGTATGTTTAACAGAAATAGGTTAAAATGATATGTTTCCTGAATTCTGAAGACAACTGGAAGGAAATTCTGGGCCAGCCACATGGAGACGTTAACAACTGATCTTGGATAGGCACATGTAACTGTCTCTTTCTATTATCCAGCAATTTGGGTTGTTCACTAGCATGTTAGGAAAAAAATTACTGACATGTCTGTCCTTCGCTCCACCTGTGTTTGCAGGGTCAGCTCCTGATATGAACAGTACTTGAGCTGCAAGCTGATGGCTGAGCAAAGATTTGGTGATAAGTTACACACAGATTTTCTCTTGGGTGATGACCCAAATCAGCCATTAACTATTTTCTGAAACAGGGTGCCTAATTACCAAAGAAGAATAAATGTTTATGAATGAGCTCTAAAGAGCATCACCATTATTGTATATGACTTTTTTTTGTAACTGGTTCCAATCAAGATTTTTGTAAAATAACTTAAAACTAAACACATTACTGTTATTAGCTTAGATAATAGAATATGTGTCCACCATAATCAGTGGTTTCATACTACTTTTCAAGTTCTAGGTATATACAGATATAAAATGAGACTAAACGTGTAAGCTTCTTGAATTCCACTCAGTCTGTACAGCCTGTCATTAATGTAGGAGTTTATGCTGGATAGTTAGTCAGGTCCTAGGCTAATATAATTTACTGGAAAATAGGTAACAAGGGTTGACTATTGTAGATCCACTGGGAAGGAGAACTTGGTGAATTGGCATGCAAGCAACTAACCAAAACATCTTGTGATTTAGCTTTGGATTCTTTTTCCTCTGTTGTGTTAGAAACACTAGAGATGATAATCAACAGCCACAAGCGAAGCCCTATTCTGAAAAAGTGTACGTCTACACTGCAAAACAGACAAGCAAACTTACAGCAGCAAATCTCAGAGCCTAAGCCAACTAGAACCCTAGTCCAGGATTCAAGATATGGGTCTGAGAATAGCAGTGTAAACATTCTTGCTTGGGCTAGAACTTGGTTCAAGCCATCTAGAACCCTAGTCCAGGATGCATGATATGGGTCTGAGATTAGCAGTGTAAACATTCTTGCTTGGGCTAGAACTTGGTTTCTGAAGTCTGAGCAGGCTGGAGGTGGGGAAGGGGGTCAGAGCTGGGCTCTAGCCTGAGTGGAAACATGTACATTGCTCTTTTTAGCTCTTTTAGGGTGAGGCCTAAGCAGGATTTTAGCGGGAGCAGGACTGACCTTCAATGTTTGTATTGTGCAAAATAGTATTTTTATTATTGCTAGAAAGAGTTAAATGATCCACTGCAAAGCTCTCACAAGCTGTAAATGAAATGACAAAGTCAGAGGATAATAGCCCTTGAAAATTAATTATGGTGTAAAAAAAAGTTAGAAAAATTATGGGATTGCTTCTCTCTTTCAGTTAGCTAATATTACCAGTGGATATGAATAACACGGGATTCACTTTTTAGAGCATTGTAGATCAATAGTTTAGAAATCTAATTTCCCCAAAGATTTTGGCAGCTCCACTAGGTTAAAACACAGTATGGATTATATACCTATTATACAAAGAGACTAATATGGAGTATACAATACTAATCATAGAAGCTGTGCATCTAGAAACAATGTTCTGAGACTCTAAAAATACACATCTGCAGAAATGATTTCAGATGTTTGTAAAAAGACTGAAAAAATCCATAGTGCAGGAAATCTCTAACAGAAATCTTACCTGTCACAAGCTGTTGTCCAGGTAATCCTACAGGAACCATCCCGAGGTTATTCATAGCAGTAGCCCAAGCCGTTGGATCAGTAACTGACATGTTAAGCTGTGTGGTATCTATAGCTATACTTCCCAAACCATCAGCTGCTGTGGGAAAAGAGACAAATTCTGAGTTTAAAAGTCAATATGCCACAATTATAATAGAAAATTGTGTTGGAGACATAAATAAATCTTACTGAAAATAATCTTTTTATTATTATGATACATCTTTTTGGAGCCCCCATAAAATTGCTAGGTGCTATATAGTGGTGAGAGAAGATACGGTCCTGCTCAAAATGAACTTATAATTTTACACAGCCTAATCAATGACAAATGTTTCTATGGAAATTAACATCATGAGATTTCCACATATTCAAAGAAGGGTCACATTTTTCATGAAATGTAGTTGACTAAAGAAACTGTGACAACATTTAGGCACTTGTATGAAAAGGTTAGATCAATTTGATTTGACTTAGGAAAATTATGAAGTTCCATTTGAAAACAAAAAGTAACCATCACTAATCAGTTTAGCAACAATATTTTCAGTGGCCACCACACAGTACAGACGTTTACCTGCAGCCATTGTTTAAACTGGTTCCTTTTGTTGCTGAGTGACTTCAAGAAGCAACGTATCCACTACTATATTAATAACATCTTGCGATGGGAGAATCTGTCTGTCACTGAATGCAGAGCCCACACACAGTTCATTGGGTGCTGCAAAAAAGCACAAGTAATCAGACATTAAATGCTGCTTTTAAAATCAATTTTCAAAACACTACACCCTGACTGAAATCAATATGAAGCTCCTACATACTCACAGTTGGATCTCCAAACCAATTCAGTTGTATACCTTCATCAAGAGTTAGTGAAGGAGTTTCAACTAACCTGCATTCTTGCTGACTGAATAAATGGTGCCATGTATGAGCCTGTCAGATGTCTTGCCTCTGGCTGAAAAGCCTTCACAAATTAGGTTTTATCAGTACCTACACAGTCACCTCAGCATGCAAGCATCAATTGAAAGGGCATACTGGGAGCTGCATATGAATTTTTTAAAAAGTTAAAAATTAATTGATGTTGTGAGTTTTGAGGAAACACTCGCCTGTTAAATATATTTCCAGATGAAGGAGTAACTTTAAGAGTGGAATACAAACCTTGAAGGGCTTGCAATGTTATAGATGCCACACACTCTTTAACTAACACAGTATCCTCAGCCCACAAAGTGGCCCCAAAAAGAAGAAAGGGGAGCCCACCAGCCTACATCTGAAATAGCTTCACTTCTGTCAGGCTTCTGTTGCAACATGAATTTTACATAAAGGTAATACTTTTGTCTGTGACTCTCATGTCTGCGTATTTCTGATAGTTGAAGAAAAAGAAAACAAAGCATTTAACCAAAGTGAGAGGTGACAACTTCGATGATAACAACACCTTCAAATTCTTATAGCAGAGAGAGCAAATATTTATTGTGGTTGAGATAAACACATATCTAAGCCTATTTTAGTCCTTTTATGCATTAGTTATGTAACAGACTGCAGTGGTTTTTCGGAGCCTTTACTGTCTCTCATGATTGCCTCACTGCCATGTAAGAGCACTAAGGGCTTGATCCAAAAGCTTATTGAAGTCAGTGGAAAAATTCCCATTGATTTAATTGTGCTTGGCTGGCTTAGACCGTTAAGTCCCCAGTCTTTTATCACAGAAGTCAGCTGGAGTTTTGGAATTAATTTCACTGGAAGTATAAGGAGGCTTTAAGGATAATTTTTTCAAAACAGAACACAAAAATGCATACAGAGAATTTGAATGTTCAAACCTCACATTTATTTATGCTAACGGCTAATTATAGAATCATAGAGTTGGAAGAGACCTCAGGAGGTCATCGAGTCTAACCCCCTGCCCAAAGCAGGACCAACCCGAAATAAGTCACCCCAGCCAGGGCTTTGTCAAGCCATAGCTTAAAAACCACTAGGGATGAAGATTCTACCACCTCCCTAGGTAACCCATTCCAGTGCTTCACCACCCTCCTAGTGAAATAGTTTTTCCTAATATCCAACCTAGACCTCTCCCACTGCAACTTGTACAGACAAAATGTGTAAGTAAACCTCCAAGTAAACAAATGTCCAAATGTGGGTTTGAGTAATATTTCATGGGCCATTTCTGGTAAATACTTTGGAGCTCAGGTTTACGTGTTAAATATTCTTTATGAAAATTATTTAAATAGATGTTAGGTGTATTGTTTCCAGTTTGTGAACCTCAATATTTCATCTTTAGAAAAGACATATTAAAAGTGATTAAACTAGACTTTAGTTTAATTCTCCCCACACTTTTATCTTCACAAGGAAAGGCAGAAAAATGTTAAGTAAACAAATTTCAGCCTATTGGCCACTTGCAAGCTATTTGTTCTGACAGTGTCTTTTACCATGTGTCAATGGGATGAGCTGCTGGTCAGCTAAATTGCTTGATATTGCTTCTGCTTCATCACTGGAAAGAGAAATTTCAAATGGGAATGATGAGTGAAAGGAAAATGATGAGTGGCAAATCACTGCCCATGCTAAAACGCCTGAAACTTTGGGGGGTTCTGAACATTTTCTTGAACAAATAGTAAATTGTCCAAATGCATATACTGTGTTAATTCATTAAAATGTTTGCGATTCACTTTTTGTACAGTGTCAGTAGCTCTAGTCATGAATCTGGGGATTAAAATGCCTAGAGGTTCTCCCAACTAGCTATTTGCTTTGCCGACTCCCTGACCAGCTGGATGTTCACTGTCAGTACCCAGGCCAGGGAAACTAATGATCCAACCAGCAGACTAAATTCAGTGATGAATCCTGGTCATGTGCCACCTGAGGCTCTCTGTGCATACGTTAAGAAGAAGAAATAGCTGCAGGGCAGAGTGAACGACAAAAAGTCACAAGGTGAGCTGAAGCCCGAAGCTGAACGAATCCTCTCTAAGCAAGAGTTGCTGCAGGCTGTTTTGTCAGTGGAACAGTACTGAATAACAAATCTGTGCACCTAAGCTCCTTGTTGAGCATCCTGCAGAATGATATACATAAAATTGGTGACAGATGCAAAAGAGAAGCACAGGACTGGACTCTGAATTTAGAACCTACGAATTCTAAATATCCTTAAAGAAACTCCACTCAAAGTTGATATATAATTGACGAAACTGTAGTGACAGCACTGGGAACAGTGCTAGTACAACACGAGATACTGATTTATTCTTCTTTCTTAATACAGAATCTTTATGGAAGAAAAGTTCTTATATTAACATTAGGCAAAATGACATTTCATCAAATAACCTTACAGTTATGTTCAACTGTCAGTTTGAACTCAGCATTTAGGTTCTGTAAAAAAAAGTTTAACAAATCATAATAGTAAAAGAAAAGTTTGACTTTGTAATAAAAAGTTTTATGTGGCTTTAAATATTTCCCTTCAGTTTTTGCCATCTGAACACTGCAGAACTCTGCAATGGAGGTAAAAAGTCATAGAAGCCAGAAACAACAATGAAGCTATTTTGTGTTCACTGTCTACACTGTATGCAGTGCAACTACCAAACAGATATAAGGGATGAAAACTGCATTCAATTTAAAAAAAAATCTTCTCCTTTTAGTAATCAGAGGTGTTACTCATAAGATAGAGTGGGAAATTTGACTATATGGGGACAGAACCTCATCTGATAAAAGTCAACATAGTCCCAATAAGTTCCGGAAGATCCCGGCAGCAGAGGAGATCCATGCTTTTAAACCAATTTATGCAACTTTAAATATCAGTAACACACAGGCATACAAAATAAATATACTAGTTCTGCAAACACTCATACACATGAGTAACTTTACTCTGGCGAGAATCTCCACTGAGATGAATCTAAAAATTCAATATAAAGGAACAAACTGGACAATGCATTCTTTATTTTATATTTACAGGGCTTCCGATTAACACTGTTTTAAATCTCAATGCAAAGACCACACCACAGTTTTGGCAATCTCCTTTCATAGTCACCTAACAAATATCCATTTTCCATCCTGTCATGGTGGGCTGAGGGAGAGTTTTAGACTCTCCTCAGACAGGCTGTCAGGAAGATAAAGTACCCGCAGGCCCATACCAATGAGAGCTTCTCAGTCATAGCAGATTGTACTTAGTACGCATATTTTATACAAGGCAATTAAATGCAGTTACCCAAGTGAATACAGAACTTGGTTATATATTGTGCATCAATTATCACAGGCAATGAATGCCATGAGACAAAGAGATTAACACAACATAAAACTAATTCAATAATACAGCATATTGCTAAGTTGAAAACTTACCCTTTAGATATCCGCAACACCCCAGACAAATGAGGCAATAAGACAAAACAAAGTAAACTCCCTACTGTCAAAATTGCTAGCAGAACGCCCAGGTAAAACGGTCAACCAAAGATGCCAAAAATTTAACAGGTAATGAGGACAGGTCTGGATAGTCAAGAGGAAGTTCTTTTTCAACTTCTGCCATTGACCTGCTATGTGGCTTTGGGAAACTCCTGTCAACTCACTGTAATTTCTGTGATCACTATATGCCTTGAGGAAGAGACTGATTATATCCACTTTCTGAAATGAGGATTATATGCTTTCATATAATAAACATCCCTGATGCTGAATCTAACAGTTCCAAAGCAATGGCCACTATAAACAAGTCAAATGGGTTTAAAAGGCAAGAGGGTAGACAGAATGATGTGATTATTTGTAAGGTCTGATATCTCATGATACACCAGATGTAGGTGGATTTCCAATCTCACCAAAGGTCTATATCATTTGTTTCCATCCACTGTGATTCATAAGTTATCGGACATCAGTGCAGTCACTAAAGCACCTGATAAGGCAAAAATACAGGCCACTGACGAGACTGGTCAGGGTGTTTCAACATACCCCAAACTCTCAGCTCATCTAATCTGTGCTGATGTTTGTAGGTATGGATTATTAGACCTGCAGGCAGGTTTTCCATTAGAACATCTGGTGGAAAAAGGACCTTGGTGGCTCCAGTCAGCAGCACTGACTAGGCTGTTAAAAGTGTGATTGGTGGTGCTGCTGGTGCAGTGAGGCTGGCAGCCTCCCTGCCTGGCTCTGTGTGGCTCTAGGAAGTGGCTGGCATGTCTGACTCCAAAGTGGAGGGATGTCCATGGGGGCTCTGAGAACTGCATCTGCCCTGAATGCCAGCTCCACAGCTCCCTTTGGCCAGGAACCACACCTGTGGGAGGAGAAAGTGTGTAGCAGAGCCTCATAGCTACCCCTTCTCCTAAAAGCTGGCGGGACGTGCCAGCTACTTCCAGTAGCCACCTGAGGTAAGTATCATTTGGCGGGAGCTCATACCCCAACCTCCCTTCTGCACCCAACCATTTACCCCTCCCTGGAGCACGCACCTCCAGCCCAGAACCTTACCTACCCTCACACCTGGAACCCTTGGGCCCCAGCCCAGAGCCCCCTCCAACAGCCCAAACCTCATATCCCTGGCCCCAACCCAGAGCCTGTACCCCCTACTAGAGCCCTCACTCTGTCCCACATCTCAACCCCTTGCCCCTGCCTGGTGAAAATGAGTGAGGAAGGGAGGATGGGGGAGAGCGAAAGATGGAGGGAGGTTTGATAGAGTGAACAAGGGGTGGTTGAAGTGGCAAGGCAGGGGTAGGGGCAAGGGTGTTCAGTTTTCTGCAATAGAAAGTTGGCAACCCTAGCTGCAGAGTTTGCTTCAAG